ATGATTCATTATGCATTGGTATTTTACCAAACAATCGATCTTTATGTATTTGCCCTTTTAATAAATGGGGTTCTCAATGTTTATTTCAAAGTCGAATATGTAATTCAAATCAAAATCTAACATGTCTAAATGGTGGTGAATGTATACCAATCGATGAACATGTTGTATCTAATAAAAAATTCAAATGTATCTGTCAAAAAGGTTTTAGTGGATTAAGATGTGAAATAATTGATAATGAAATTAATCTATCATTTCATGAAGATATTAATTTATCTCAATCAATACTTGTTCATTTTATTGAAGTATTTGATGATGCTGCACCGATCAATGGTAGTACATTTCAACTGATCCCTGTTAATAAAAGAACAGTGACACTTTATTGGCCATATCCATTTCATATTGCGTTTGCTGAACTCGATAATAAAAATTATTATTTAATCCTGGTTCAAAATATGTATCATCGATCAAGAAAAATTGATCAAGAAATTCAATCACAAGATCGTTGTCGACATATAAATGAAATATTTAATCAAACTCTGATTCAATATCATCCTCTTCGTCGTATTAAACATTATCATAAACCATGTAACATGTCTTCATTAAATCTTTCTTGTTTTTATGATGATAATCTTTTCTGTTTATGTAATTATTTTGGACAACAACGTATAGCCAATTGTTTTGAATTTGATTCGAAGAAAAAGTTCGATTGTTTTGGTCAAAGTAATTGTCAGAATGAAGCAAAATGTTTACAGGATAGATCTCAATGTCCACAAACATCAATATGTGTTTGCCGTCCATGTTTTTATGGAACATTATGCCAATTTAGTGCACATGGATTTGGTCTTTCTCTTGATGATATTTTAGGTTATCAAATTCAACCACATATCACAATTAAACATCAACCATTTGTTATACAATTAAGTATAATATTAACAATGATTATAACAATTATTGGATTAATTAATAGTATTCTATCATTTATAACATTTAATAATAATGAAATATGTCAAACTGGTTGTGGAATTTACTTACTAAATATATCAATTATTACTTTATTTACAATGATATTATTTGCATTAAAATTTTGGATACTTCTTATTGCACAAATGACATATATTACAAATGATTTATTTTTAAAAATACAATGTATTTCAATAGATTTTGTATTACAAATTGGTATTAATATGAATCGATGGTTATCAACATGTGTAGCTATTGAACGAGTAATTTGTGTAATTAAAGGAACTAATTTTGATAAGAATAAAAGTAAAAAATTGGCTAAATTTATTATTATTCTTCTTTTTATTTTTAATATTTCGACAAATATTCATGATCCGATTCATCGACATTTAATAGAAGATAATGATAATGAAAAAAGAATTTGGTGTATTATTACTTATTCATCAACATTAAGAACATATAATACAATTATGAATTTATGTCATTTTTTCATTCCATTTATTATTAATTTAATTTCTGGTCCATTTATTATTGTAGTAACAGCTCGACAACGAAAAATTATTCGAATTCAAGAAAGTTATCGAAATATTTTAAATAAACAGATTCAAGAACATAAACATCTATTGATATCTTCAATTAGTTTAATTCTATTGGCTATACCACATTTAATCATTTCTTTTGTATCAGGTTGTATGAATTCAATTAGCGAACCTTTGCTATTTTTAATTGGATATTTTATTTCATTTATCCCATCGATATTAACTTTTCTTGTCTTTGTTACTCCATCAACATCATATAAACAACAATTTTTAAAGACATATGAACGATATAAACGAACGATACAAAGACGATTACATCTTGTTTTATAAAAATATTTTCTCATCATTTTTTTTCCTTCTAGTAATGAAACAAATAAATATAACATTCATCAACATCAAATTAAGGATGAGTAAAAGAGCAGTCATGACTGCGATTTGGACGTTCATTCTCTTGCCACTTATTGATATAAAATACGATTTTTTTTATAGTTTAAGACTTACGATGTGGATGTGAGCGTTGATATGATTCTCATGTATATCAGATATTCAGATCTACGCTCACACCCACACCCACCCTCAAGAATTACTTTAGTTAACAAAAAGATCGACGTTTGATCATGAATAGGTTGATGGAATTGGTTGCCAGCTCGTAATGAAGGAGTAATAACGACGACTTAGATCATTGGTGTTTTCCTTGGTGGTGATAGTTACTCCGAGTCGAGCAAAAAATGTTGACAATCGAAATTTCTGAATAATTTCTTCATTTAATGGAGTATAAATCGCACTGCCTATCAACTCGAGAGTAAAACGTTTTAGTTTATTGTTCGAAGCAAAGACACGTGCCCACCAGTCCGCGTCGAGTGGTCTTTTTCCAAGTCGTGTGTATTGAAAGTCAAAAGTGAATGCACTGAGATGAGGACAGTGTGACAAGAGTAGCTCGAGAAATATCAGACTAAACTCAGTTCTGTTGAAAACCTTTCCTGTTAAGTGAAGTATCTTCATGTTTGGAAGACCCTTGCGGATGTTAGTGGCCAACTGAATGGACGAGAGTGCTGTTTCATCATCTGTGATGTCACTGTAGAGATTAGCTGAAAAAGATCGGAGTTGATGACAGGTATCGAGAATTCGAATAGCCAAAAGAAAGTCAAGACTGTAGGCATTGACCTCAGAAAGAGATGGAAAGTCAAACATGCGCACATCGGCCGGTATCGTTGACGCGGGTCCTCGTCTATTTCCACTGAGATACAGGCGCCGAAGAAGTGGACAAGATTGACGAAAAAGACTCAAAGCGAGTTCGTCGATGAGATGTGGCCGCCAACATTGAGTTTTGATATAGATTGAAGTCAGAGTCGAGAATAATGGCAGATCTTTGGCGAAAATCAATGAGGCTTCGTCGGTTTCGTCGTATGTTAAGGTCAGATGTTGGACTTGGACAAATTGATCTAGAGGAAACTCCTAAAGATGGCAACATGTTTTCATATTGAAGGTGAGAAAAAGACAAACCGCAACATACCATGAAGAATATACAGGGGGAATCGGAATAAGTGATTAATGAAGAAGAATACAGTGAAAGAGCCCTGACAGATCGAAGAAGTTGATTGAACCGTTTGTTGATTCCATAAAATGCCAAAAAAAGATTGATCCAATTCAAATAATCAAATATTTCAAGCAGCAGCTCATTAGCTAGATCTTCAATGCGGGATGGGACTTGAGGAGACGTTTCTGTATTATTCGCGTCCTCGACTATAGTCGTCACTAGGAGACTTTTCTGAACATATCCACTTGTGGTTGAGGAAATTTCAGCGGACGATTGGAGAGAGTGCATGGTATTCTGAAAAAAGATTAGACCATACAACGTTCTTCTGGTAAGACAATGGAAATCTTGTTAAGAATTTTCTGACAGACTTACAGTTTCATGTCTTGTTATTTTTGTTTCACTCTGTCTGGGACAGTTAACAACTGGGAACGGTATGCAAGATGGAAAAAAGGGGTACTAGTTGGCATTGTTTACAGCTGATATACTATTGATTTGTTTCCATATGTTAGAAACATGCTTAATTTTACTCTCGCTTGCTTGCAAAAAAACGAAAAAAATGTATACTCCTTTGTATCTCAATGTCTGCTGCGAACTGTTTGTCTAACGAAGGCGGTAGAAATAAAAACAACGATGAGTCATTGATTATTATATTTAGTATATTAATTTCATCAATCAAACATAATGGAAAAGGGTTCTAAGACGAAAGTATAAGTCCTTTTGAATAGTAGGGGGAGAGTGTCCGATGGCCTCAAAATCGCCAAAACTGTCGATTTTTACTTAACTTTTTTCGAAAAATTAATCTGAATTGAAAATCATCGGCACTTGATTGAAAAGACACTCGTTTGAAATTGAATTTCGTTATATTTGTTGCTCCAAAAAAAACAGATGAAAAAAAACAAATAATACGGGTATTCGATAGCAACAGAACGAGCGACGCCACGAAAACATTGAAGCACGTGTGCAGAATCGTTTGAAGACAAGTGAAGACGAAAAAATGGTTGATTTCAAGTGGCTGCCTCGATTTTGTCGATGAAATCACACGATTCATCGAACTGCTACATCGCTATTTATGAGAGTGTGGGTGGCACAGTAAGGTTAATGTAATACCCACACCCTCTTTGTTTTGGGTATAAAAATGTTTATCTATTTTTCATATTAGATAAAATAAATAGTTATTTTTTTTAAATGCAATTATACACAGAAGAAAACTAATACATTGATAAAATAATTTAATCCAGATACAATTTTTATATTAGTAAATCGTGGCTTGGTTACAAAACTATTTTCTTTACGATTATCATGTAACAGTGAAAATTAATATCATAACACGTTTAATAGAAAAATTCTTAGACATAGAGAAAATTAATGTTTGCTCCTATTTAAAATAAAGTTGCTCGTTATAAACGATGGTGTTTATTAACTAGTTTATCTATGCATTATTGTTCTCTATGATAACTATACTGTAAGTAAAAACTATCTTTATTACGATTATGTAGAAGGGTGTGGGATGGTGTATTTTCTATTAATACTCTAATTTTTATGTACAATTTATCGTATCATTTATATATGTAATCTGCCTTACTCTTGATAATGATGATTTAAATTCACTGAAATGTCGACAATAATTTTGTAGATAACTATTTAAATATTTTTATCTTAATAATGATCAAAGAAATCGCTGTTGCTTATCAATTTTTAATTCCACATTTCACTTTTATTAACAAGTTTTTTCTCGAGTATTCTCTACAATATTAGCACATATCGTGTACTAATGATAAAATAGATTATCAGTAATGAAACAAAAGCAAAATTATTCGCCAAAGTGATGTTTTAAGTTGATAAATATTTTTTCAATTTTAATATTTCAATGACAAACCGTATTAGTGTAATTTCTAACAATTATAATCTATACATGTCAAAAATCGACAGTTGCTAAGATTTTAATCTAGCATTTTAATTCTTGAATGTAACTATCTTAAGTAATAGAATCTTATTTAACAATAAAAATGTTCTTAATGTAACTCACGGACAAGCGTCTCTTTGTCAAACAACGAGCGTGAACCGACATATTCGAATTATTAAAAACTCCTTTTGTCTTTTCTCGTGATGATCGGATCGAGCTTGTCGAGTTGCATAAGAAAAAATGACCCGTAATCCTGAATGACGGATGACGATGAAGCAGGATCCAAATAATGGTATTTTGGATTTTATTTCGTATGATACGTTTTTAAAATTTGTTGGTTTGACAATATTAAAAAAAAAATTACAACATTCAATATGTAGTCATCTATTTCAGTCCAAGTTTGGTCCATTTATCTCACTGTTTGCACCATCGCTGTTGGTCTTTTGAATAGTCGATTTTTTACAGATGCTTTCAATGGTTCTGCACTATGAAATATAATAATCATTATGAATACTAATGAGACATCTATAAAAATATATGCAATACGAAAATGATATTTAGGTGGTGAAGTAAAAAATCCCATAAATATAAAGATGGTATAAGGAAAACCAAATGCTAGTAAAGTTATGACAAGCATAACTATTCGATATACCATTTTTAATTCTCTTTCTGCTCGAATTAAATTATTTGCTGTTGTAACATGTTGACTCATTTTTTTAACATATCGAACTAATTTTAAATAAATAAACATAATACTATTCACTGGTATTATGTAGAGAAAAAATATATTATAAATGGTTACAATGGAGAAATGTAATGGGACTTGACATATTTGATCATCAGCTTGATAGCTGATTGCACTAGTGAATATTAGTGGAAAAGCATATATAAATGACACAATCCAGCTAAGGATCATAAGGAAAATTTGAACTCGTTTTGATTGCCAAAATAGTTGAGTAGGATAAATAACTTTTAAATAACGATATATTGCTTGTAGAAGATAAGAATAATTCTGTGCGCAGCATGTCATAGAACCAATATAACCCCGGAAAATACAAAGTGAATCTTCGTATTCTCGTCGTTGAAGATCATTGTGTAATGTAAATATTGCCATCCAAAATGCAACAATTGATATAAGAAGTTCAGCTAAGCATGAATTAGCAACAAGCATCATGGGAACTGTATGACATGTTTTATCGGATATGATAATAATTAAAGATACTAATGCAAGTATAATGACCAAAGAGAGACAGATAATATCAAGAATATCTACTGGAATAAACTATGATTCGATATTTATTGACAATGAATTATTGTCATACATTAGAATTATTATCCGAAGAAAAGAAAAGATAGTATTTTGTATTTTATTGAAGTTATTGTCTATTGTTAAAAGAAAGTGTTCACGATACTTCTTTTTTAGCATTTTTTTATGGATAAACCATTGAGAAAAGGATTTGTCTATCAGTATCAGACGTTTATTAAAACAACAAATCCTTTTATTTATTATCATGAAGAATAAATTATAGTACCTGACATTATTTGACTTAATGATGATAGTTACAAGCAAAAAACTGCCTTCACAAAAACAAGTATGTATGGAAAATTTCCTTACACGTCATTTGTAATTTCATAAGTAGTCAGTTCCGTTTATACGTTAGTCATGACGCGCATGACACATCATCGTAGTAAAAGGAAGAGAATAAACCACTAGACCATACCTATATATGTACGCTCGATTTTTTCTTTCATGTCATTTACCGTACCATATTTTTACTTTATAAGCAGCCGAAAACACTTAGATGCAAAGAAATAGAGATGGAGAACCGGTTTCTTTTAGTGTGCTCGCTAGTGTTGGTCCTCCTTTAATTAGTGGTATTTTTACCTTGGCTCAGCAGATTCACAAAACAGTTGAAACTTGCGGTGAAAATGATATAGATTGTATTGAATTAGATGGACATATTTATGAAGTTATTGATTGTTTGGAATATATTGAATCCGACGCACCACGACTGTTTAAACAATTAGAACAACCAATAATAAACTTAGAAACTTGTCTAGTAGATTGCTTAGAATTAGTGCAAAAATACACTAATGCATCTGCCATTGGACTATTCTTACGTAGTCATAGTTATAAACGAAAATTTGACAAAATGAACGATCAATTAGAAAAGTGTAAGCAGCGTCTTTCATTTGCTATTCAAGTTCATTCTTTATCAGTCACTAAAAAGAGATCACAATTTACAACAAGAATAACAACACAAACATTAGGTTTAGATGGACGTCATAAACGAACACATGCTGATCAGTCTAAACATAGACCAATGACACCTCTTGTACGTACATTTTAGTTTATTTTTTTCTTTTACACATAGTTCTATATTTCAATAGGTTAATCATGCTGTGAAACAATCTCCGAAAATCAGTCATCATCAAAGTAGACATCTACATCATTCCAACAGTCCTCATCATCAACAGAGACCTCGTGTATCAAGTTTACCACGTACACCCAATATTCCACGTGTATCAAGTGTACCACGATCATTAATGAATGGTGTGCATCATCACTAGATCACACCAGAGTATTATTTCGATTTGAAATGAGTTAGTTTAATATTTTTGTTGACTTTTTTTAATAAATGAAAATAATGTAGTTGATTAAATTTGCTCGTTTTTTCTCATTATGTTTTGGTCATAACTCTGAAGCGAAAACCACAGAGAGTTGAGTAACCTTTTAAATTAAACAAAACTTTGTTATTAAAATTATGAGGCTCGTGCAAACTTCTAAAAATGTTTCTTTGATTTTGAAAAAAAGTATTTTTATAAGTTTCTCTTCAGTTTAAAACGAGATTGAAATTTCTACAACTTCCCTTTACATGCCTTGCATTAATGCGATGAAATATACGCATGACTCAATTTGTTAAGTATTACCTTTGATACTTTATGTGATACTCATGAGTCAAAGTCACTGATGTATATCGGTTATTGCATGAAAATATTTTTTTCTCTTCTTTATATATAGAGAGAGTAAATATCATATTTATTCATTTTATCAACACGATGGAATTATTACCAAATGAAATACTATTACAAATTTTTAGTTATTTACACAAATTGGATGTTTTCCATTCGTTCAATGATCTCAATCAACGTTTTCAACATATAATTGAATCTTGTTTGTACGAAATCAATATAATTGATTTAGGCAATCATTCTTTTAGACGCTGGTACTTCTTCATTAAAGATATTTTTCCTAGACATGTACAATCTGTGCGATCTCTAAAACTTGAAGAAGAACAACAATTTGAATTATTTAATCCTTATATTTCACAGTTAACTAGATTAGAATCACTTTCACTAAAAGCAGACAATTGGCTATATCATTATGATTATTATTATTGGTTAAATCAATATCTAACACGAGCTTTATCATTATCATCTTTAACAACGCTTACAATTCATGGAGTAACTATTTCTACTCTAAAAATTATTTCTTTATCCGCATCGCGTAATTTACACAAATTAATTTTTCTAAAACCAAAGTTTACATCTAATTTTAAAGTTGATGATATTCCTCAAATGTCGTATGTAACACATTTATCAATTTCACTTAATTCTACGACTCAATTATTGAAACTATTTAAATTATTTCCAAATCTTGAAAAATTAAATCTATCAATAATACGTCTCGATTCATACCCAATGTACCATTCCGAGATACCAATTACTTTAAGAAAATTACATTTACAATTTCTGACGCATCAATATGATGGTTATCCAAATTTAGATTGTTTACAGAAATTCTTGAATATATTTCAAAGTCAATTACATATTCTCAGATTGATTATTATCAATGCTCAAATAGAATTTTCTAATTTCGATAAATTTCAAAATTTGATTAAGAACTTTGAAGATCTGAAATCTTTTCAATATAATATTCATACAAATTATAAGCCTGATAAAAAGTTTCCAAATATAAAACAGTTGCCGAAATTACGATACACTATGTTTACACTTCCACGAATTCGATCGTTTGATACTGGTTCCAATGGAATATACCAAATATGTGATCTTAATTCAAATCTTACGTTAAAAGAGTTATTTGATAGTTGTGAAGTTCGGCTGGATCGTAATTATTATAATGAAAGATTTTCAATTCCGACTTTTCAGTTCACCAATACTTTTGTACTTGAAAATTTAACGAGAATTTGTTTTGAACGTTGTATTGAAGAAACCTTACCTGAAATTTGTCGTTTCATATCAAATATTATAACTTTATCGCCAAATCTCACGTCTTTTAAGGTTCATAGTCGCGATGAAATGAAATTAATTCAGCATTTGAAAGAAATTTTTCGTCCTCATAAATCAAATAATATTTTAAATTTAGAACTTATTATTTCTTGGGAAAATATGAATCGATTAACGACATTCTTCTATGATCTTTCAATTATGTTTCCAAAAATAAACTCGTTAGTATGTCCATCTATTGGACAATCACCTCGTACCGCTAATCTTCTTCAAGATTTACGAACATACTTTCCTAAACTTAATCGATTACAACTGGAAATGATCGATCAAGAAGACTTTAGGTATTTTAAGAAATATTTAAAAGAAAGTCGACGACAATTCCAAAGTAAATATTCTTTTACAATTGATCAAGATCATCGTAATTCGTACGGCTTTTATACTTATCGCATTCGTTTATATTAAATCTTAAAGTTTAACTTTTGCGGGGGTGTGGGTGTAAAGTGAGGATGGATGTGGGTGAGGAGAAGAGACACCCACACCCACCCACACCCTTTAAAATCAATTTGAATTAAACATGTTCATCATGATTGACAACTCACCATTGCCAAATTGCAAGGAATATTAGATGATTGATCTAAGTTTTACGACTTTGATTATGTTTGAATAAAACTAATGCTACTAATGGATAAGATCCACCCATTTTCAGAGTTTTGTTTTTGCATATATTGAATTTAGAGTTGAATTCATGCATTTTTTCATGTCTCTTACAAAAATACATCCTGTCGCGATGAATAATTCTATTTTTAATATATATGATACAAAAATACTCATTGCGCATAGAGAAATAAAGAACGTGATTAAAAGCGAATCCTAACAAAGCAGACTATTTGACAGGTTCAAATAAAAATATATCAAACTAATCATGGTTTATCGATAGATGTCTATCATTTATTGACGATGATAGTTGATATCTTATTTTTAGTTAAAACACATCCGATAATTAACATAGACTTTGATCAATTCTTCTTTCTCCTCATCACGTTCTTCTTCAGTAAAATCAAAGATTTTCTATAAAATGAAAAAAAAAAGAAAAAAATCATGTCGAATTTAAAAAGGAATGAAATTCAATGAAAAATATTAAATTAAATCATCGACTCTGTTTATTAATCCAATCTAAGATCAATTTCTTATCTTACCTACGACGAAACCTTCTCTAAAACACTATTTTTTCTCTTTATGTGTTATGTTGGAAAAAATGAATGTGAGAAAAAAGAGAGAGAGAGAGAAAGAGAGATATATAACTACACAGAAAATCTACAATGAATGTCATTTTATTTTCATCGAAGATAAAGAAGAAGATTATTTTATTAGTTAACTAGTTTAACAAAAAAAGTTTTGTTAAATGATGTTAAATATCTACATATTTATCATTATTCTATTTCTGATTCTGAACAATGAAACATCAGGTAAATACTTTTATTTATCACATACTGAAGATCAGCTATTGCGAGAATGCATCCTATTCCGCGATGTTGAACATTGGAGGAATCAGTTCCGCACCGGAATCGATTCCGTCCAATTCCGGGAACTCGATCGACACACAACATAAGACACCCAGTCGAGATTGATCGAGTTCGACCGATTCCGGAATTGCACGGAATTCCCACCGATTCCGGAATTGCACGGAATTCCTACCGATTCCGGAATTGCGGGAATTGGTTCCGATTCCGGAATTCCGTACCGGAATCACACCATCCACCTCACCCACATTTGTTGTGTTGTGTTGACAAGTTATCCCGTTTGGATACGATCTAATTCCGTTACGGAATTCCGGGAATTGCATCAAGACGGAATTCAGTGGAATTGGACG